AAAGACAGTGCTTCAAAATTTATAGTTGTAAGTGATCAAAAACCGAGAGCAAAGAATTTTGTACCTTGTCAGTGTCTTATAACACAAGGTTACACTGGGGCTCAAACGCTACCGCTCACCTCCTCTTCCTGAAATAATTAAAGGGCTATTCCAGCCAAAATAAAAACAATCAGTATCAACAATTATTTTTTTAAAAAGAACGCTTTATTCACTCTGTTGGTTAATAAACATTTAATGAATGGCTACACGTTTCCAGGCACTGCCCTAATAAGTAAAATTTTGAACAAAACCAAAGAGGTCCATGCCCCTGTGAAGCCCCCACAGCCCCGAGGGACAGAGAAATAAATAGGCAAACGCCTACCAGTAGGACAGGTGACATAGTGGCATGGTGATGTAGCGACGTGGTAGTATGGTGATGTGGTCGCATGGTGGTGTGGTGGCCTGGTGATGTGGTGGCATGGTGGCATGGTGGTGTGGTGGCATGGTGATGTGGTGGCATGGTGATGTGGTGATGTGGTAGCATGGTGATGTGGTGGTATGGTGGTGTGGTGGCATGGTGTTGTGGTGGCATGGTGATGTGGTGGCATGGTGATGTAGTAATACGGTGATACGGTGGCATGGTGATGTGGTGGTATGGTGGCGTGGTGGCATGATGAAGTGGTGACATGGTGGCATGGTGATGTGGTGGCAGGGTGATGTAGTGGTATGGTGGTTTGGTGGCATGGTGGCATGATGACAAGATGACACGCTGTCCTGGTGAGGCAAGACAGCTTCTTGGAGAAAGTAAAATCTAGTCTGAAGCCTGAACTGAGGAGGACTCAGGCTGAAGAAGAGCTGGGAGGAAGGAGACTGCATGCGGGGAAGAGCACGCCCACGAGCACAGGGGTCAGAGGGAGCAGTGAGGCTGGAACACCGGGCGGCGTGAGAATTGAAACTGGTGGAATCTGAAGACCAGTCAACCCCATGGACCCTGAGACCAGGCAGAGGCTCGCGGGTTCTCACCACTGTCATATCGCCGTCCTCAGCTCAGAGCCCAGCCAGGAGTCACTCCTCAAAAGGTATTTGTTGAATGAAAAAATGTGTCATGTAAAAATGGCCACAAAAGAGAAAAAACCCAAACAGTTTTTAATTTGAATTACTAAAAATAGCAATGGTAATATAATATCAATCTAGGTGGATAATGCAAAATTAATTTAACAAAGACTAGGAAAGAATTGAGAGCTGAGGAAAAGATCAAGTGTAATAAATTTTAAGTCTTGTGTAAGAGGGGTCCAAAGTAATTGCTTTATTCTTAGCTTAGATCATTAAAGAATTATACATTTAAATAGATATTTGAAAGAATTAAAAGCGTCTACTGGTATAATTTTAAAAAATACCACAGTGCACATAACAAAATGAAAAAGGAAGCTGCAAGAAAGCAGAAAGCAGAACAAGGATGAGAGACGGAGGGTTAAACTTTGTGGTTATATGATAAACGCGGAGAGTTTAAATTTTACCACATCAAAGCGAAGTCTTGTGATGGGGAACAAAAGTGGAACTATGTGATACAAGAGACAGACACGAAGGAGAGCTCTTCCATAGTTTAAAATAAAGGCCTGGGCAAAGAAAGAGAGGCAGGCCCCCACAAGCAGAAAGAAAGGATGATAATTTAAAAATGAAGAAAAAATAGACATCGCTTCACAAAGCCTTAATGTTGCGATGAGTCATGTTACGTTAGGAAAAGTAATAATCCTGAAAGCAGTTGTTAGCCTTCATGTGCTAATAAACACAGTATAGGTATTTATAAATGTGTGCTTTAAAGGTCAAGAAGAAATGAGCAAAAACGCAATCATTGGGCAGAAGTTTTAATTCTCCTCTATGATAGATCAAGAAACAATGCAGGGGCCGGCCCCATGGCCGAGTGGTTAAAAGTTCGCGCGCTCTGTTTCGGTGGCCCAGAGTTTTGCTGGTTGGGATCCTTGGCGCGGACGTGGCACCACTCATCAAGCCACGCTGAGGCGGCATCTTGCACAGCACAAGCAGAAGGACCTACAACTAGAATATACAACTATGTACTGGGGGGCTTTGGGGAGAAGAAGAAGAAAAAAATGATTGGCAACAGATGTCAGCTCAGGTGCCAATTTTTAAAAATGAAACAATGCAAAGGAAGTAAATTTACATGATTGTACTAGTTGCCTATGGCTGCCGTCACAGCTACCACAAAATTGATGTTTTAAAAGAACATGCTTTCACTCTCTTACAGTCCTGGAGCTCGGAGTCTGTAATCAGTTTCCCCGGGCTGAAGTCAAGGTGTCAGCAGAACCGCGCTCTACCCAGAGGCTCCAGGGAGAATCTGTGACTGGGCCTTTTCCAGCCCTGGAGCTGCATTCCTGGCTTGTGGTCCCTTCCTCCATCTTCAAAGCCAGCAGCGCAGCATCCTGCTTCCGTTGTCACATTCATTGCCTTCCTTTTCTGTGTCAAATCCCTCTCTGCCTCCCTCTTACAAGGATACCTGTGATGATACTTAAGGCATACCTGGGTAATTCAGGATAATCTCCCCATCTCACGATCCTTACCTTAATCACATATGCAAAATCTCTTGTCGTATAAAGTAACACTGTCAAATTCCAGGCGTTAGGACCCAGATGTCCTTCAGGGCCATCGTTCAACCTATTGCAATAATAATAATAAGACTTAATAATGATCAGGCTCACACTGATGGGACGACTTATTTTCAAGGGTCCATGGAACGTTCACGAAACTGCATAAATTTGGCTTTATAAACTCCTCCAAAGCAAAAATTATTCATTGCCGATGCCATCTTCTGAAGTTCAAATTTTATAATAGACAATTAGAAAGAATAAGCCAATTACTTGGATATTACAAATAAGCAAAAAACACGCTCGAATGACAAGCCACCAAATATTGTTTCAGATTGCTTAGAAAATCGTAGAAAGGACGACACTATGTATCTATGGCTGTCAGAGTTATCAGGAGAGGTCAATTTTTAACCCTAAATTCCTTTATTACCATGTAAAATAAGAAAAGAAATCTATAGATAATCATTCAATAGAGGGAATTAGAAAGAACATAAAATAGATAAAGCAAAAAGGAATAAGTTAGAAAATGGTGGGATTAATAAATGAAACAAAAAGCAATTCAATTACAAAGATGACAAACCCCTCTGCCAAGTGTAATCAAGGAATAAATGAAGAGACCACAGAAAAGTAAATTAGAAATGAGAAATTACTGCCATTATATTACAATGTTATTTTGGAGGCTCCAGATATGAGACAGAAATAAAGAATACACAAGGACGTGAAGAAGACAAGCATGTTATTTCCAGCCAGTGTGATTATATGTAAACACCCAGAATATCAATCAAAATAATACGTGGGTTGTTGATAGAATTCAGCGGCTGAATATGAAAGTAATAAATAAAAATCAAGTCTTTTTATACCCTGTAACCATTCAGAAAACATAATAATTATTAACATAAATATTATTATTACACTTACTAAGAAATGTGTAATAACAATATGTTACCTAATATGGCCTGGATGATAAAACTGCTTGGTATGATAAAACTTTCCAATTTACACGATTAAAATAAGTCCAAACAAAACCTCTATAATGTTTTTAGAGAAACTTCCCCAAATAATTCTGAAGTTCATTTGGAAGAAAAAAGTGATGAGAATAAATTTAAATGTTTGGAAATGGAAGTATTATGAGGGGAAGTGGCTTTTCCAAATGTTAAAATACTATAAAGCTATGTTAATTTTTAGTCCATTTAATGCTATTAATAGAGAGGGAGTCTGAATATACGAGGAAGTTGGCAAATAGTCAGAGAAGTTATGGATTTTTTAATGGAGAGTGCAGACGCTGCTAGTCAGATGGCAGTGTATTGATGAAATATGTGGGAAAAGTCACTCCCTAGAACAGATTAAGGGGGAATGCAGCGGGGTTATTGAAGTTCCCAGAGGTGACAAGCACTCCACTTACCATCCCTCTCCCCACCCATAGAATAGGCAGCCTGTAGCTAGCTATGCCAGGCAAAAATCCTACAGCCTGATTCCTAAAATAATTGAACACGCAATGACCATATAGATCCACAGCAGAGAACAAACACCAGATACCCAGCCTTTTTTCTCAAACTCAAACAGAAAATCGAGGATCACCAGGCAAATGAGAAGAGCTAGACCCTCAAGTGAGAAAGGCCTAGACGCAGGAACAGGAAAAATAGATCCCAGAAGAAACAGGATAATTTGGGATACAAAAGAAAAACTAAGAACAAAACTCCAATAAATAGAGAAATTTAAAATTTTGAGTTCATAAACCAAGAACAAGATGATATGAAAAAGAAAAAATTGCAACACAGGAACAGCTTTTAGAGATTAAAAAAAAGTAAAAGTAAAGTCAGGGAGAGCTCTCCCAAAGATAGAGATGGAAAATATGAGTGAAATGGTGAGACCTTTTGTCATAGGTCATAGAAAGAAAGAGCAGAGAGAACAGTGGAATTATTTGATAAAATATAGGAGTGACTCAAAACTGATGAGGGATATAAACATCAGATGAACCTGATGAAGGATATAAAACATCGATGAAAGGGCTCACTCCACGATGAATTACAGATGACTCCACCCTAAGCTGTATCTTACAGCCTCTTTGGTCATGTAACTGATCATGTTTCCCCTTCACGTTGATTTCTAAAAATTGCAAAGGTAAATTTTCAGCCCGTCTCCAGAAAGTGCTCAGGAATTGAACGTTTTGCATATTGTGCCAGATTATCTGTTGTCAGTTTGTTACCACTATTTCCATCACCAACAGCACCCTTACTACCGTGCTCACCACCAATACCACCACCATCATCACCACCATCGCTACCACCACCACCACCACTGCCATATGCATCTAAGGCAGGGAACTACATTTCCCAGAATCCCTTTCCCTGTGCAGTTTTGGTTTAGAGTTCACCCAAGAGAAGAACTTATGCAAGATTGGAAAGTGAAAGTGATACTTATCATTTCTGAGCTTAGGCCTTAAGAAGCGTCGTGCGTTTCCATTTGCCTCCCTGTGCCTCTGTCATCACAATGAGAAGAATATGCCCTAACTGGCCCTGAGTCCCCGAAGAAGGATTAGAGAAACGTGGAGCAGAGCCCCGAGTCTGAAGTGAGAGCTACCCCTAGCTGATCCATGAACTGAGCAAGGAAGTTGTTCACACATGTATGCCACTGAGACTTTGGCACTGTTCTTCTGTGGCACTAGTTGACCAAAACAGGTGCGTAGACTTTTACTTGTCAATCCTTGTTTTCCATTATTCTCACTGTTTTTTCCCTTACTTAAAATCGTATTTTATTATATGTCTAATAGTGAGATATCCCAAATACTTTTTGGGAAAAGGTGAAGTATAAATAGGAATACTGCTGACATATTTTGGAAAATGCTACTTTATCCCTTTTGATTTCCATGAGTGCTTCAGAAGACTTTTCGAATGACATTGGATGACAGTTCTAAATATTAGTTTGGAATGTAGCCATCAAGGAGAAGTCTAGGATAAAGAAGTCAAATGAGAATAAAGCCAAATCACTTCATCCATGGAAGGAGAAAGAATGCTGGAGCAGGAAGCCCAGTGGAATATTATAAGCAGGTGATGTGGTTTAAGTGACGCAAATGCGTTTATGATCAAGTGGAGAGTAATCACTGGTGCCTGAATTTGTCCTATTCTTTTTTTTTTTTTTTTTCCTGAAGGATCCCGTGGGTATATATTTTTTTTATATGAAGGATCTTCTGCTTTTATTCTCTGATTCCTTTTATTGTTTTAAGATTCATTTCGGTTATAAATTCTGGAAAAGGGAATCTCAAAGTCACAGCATAATGAAATCTTAAGCAGAATTATGTTATAAATTATTACAATTATCTTCGTTATTTTTAGGCGAATGTGCTAACATGCTTTAAACTGCTTTTAATGTATTGTCCCTCATTCTCCAAATTTAACTTTTTACAGCTTTCTGCAAATGGGATGGGAGCATCGCTAATGCTCAGTGATCTGGGAACATGGCATTAATTGATAATGATCAAGAAGACACTCTTTCACCACCAATATGAAACCCTGGGGAAGTCAATTGAAGTGGAAAACTATATATTTTGTGCAGAGGCTTCAAAGAAGGGGAAATTATGGTTTCATTAGATCATCCCTCCATTCTGCAAGCGTAGAGCAGGTCTGTGCAATTGACTTTTTGAGGCCACTCTGTAAGCCTGCGCTGGGACGCAGTGAGCGCTTACCATGAAACGGATCATTAATTCTCCTCCTATTTTGCTGCATTGAAGCAGAAGATGATTATTAACCTAGCAACATGGGGAAACAGCTAAGGCTTTCTAAGCCCTTGGGATGGAGAGACACTGCTAATTATGTGTGGCAATCCGATTTTTCTTCCTCTTTTATAAAGGCAACGTTGTCCTCTTCGTCTTTCTAAGTCCTGTGCTGCGGCTAGCAGTGCAGTCTGATGTAAGAAGGTTTGTGTCCCGCTCAAAGGTCCTTTTTCATAATATTTGGACTATATGTAAGTGGGTGGGATTTTTTCTGTCTTTTGAGGGCAGCCTGGGTTTGAAGAAGGGGCAAGTGAGGAGGGTGAGGGGGGTGCATATACGGAGAGTTGCACAGGAGTCGCTGACACAAAGTTGAACTGGGAATGGAAAGCACTTCAGACACTGCCTCCTTGTTCCTCTGTACCATCCTTGGGAGAAGCTTTATGAATGTGGGTCAACCCAACCAGCTGGGTTACTGGAGAGAGAGCTGAAGCTGGGCTGTAGGCGTGTGGCATCCGGGGGCCAAGAGCTGCAGTTGTGAAGAACAAAGTCGGGGCATGTCTGGCCTTCTAGGTATTCCAGGCCATGTCCAGTGGCAGGTGTGTCTGCGCTAGGGGACCAGACGTGGGAGAGGAGGCCTTACTTGAGTCTATTGAGGTATAAATCTGGTTTATTGCACACATATGGTAAGGAATGAAGGAAAGGGGCTGGTGGCCAGTAAGCCAAGGGTTTTGGAGCCACAGAGCAGGGCAATGACCACAGCAAGAGCAGCTGAGGGCTGGCCTGGCAAGAGAACAGGACAGCGTTCCTGATTTTCTCTCCACCCTGGTGAGCTTGACTGGGGCATGGACTGGGGCACGGATGGTGAATGAGCTCTTAGATTCTTTGACCCATTACGGAAAGGCGGTGGGATCCTTGGAAAAGGAAAATAAATGTTCTTATAGAATAAGAAGGCTTGAGCCGTTTGACTTTAAGGATAGAAGAGATTTGACCTACTGTTTAAGCCAGGCTGAGTGAATGAGTCAAGCCGGCTACAGAGACCATATCATAATGAAGTGCAGCGAAGTCTCTCAACTCCTCATACTTTGCTAATGCTGAGAAGTTCTGGAAATGTCCATCTGGAAGAACATATTCTCAGGAGTCACTGGAGTTAAAGACTGCAGTAGTTAGCTATTGCTGCATAACAAATTACCACGAACGTAGCAGCTTCAAATCTATAGTCTACCCTCATTCTTTGCAGATTCTGCACCTGCTAATATCTTGAGATAGAGCAAATAAAATTTATTGAGAATCCTCAAAAACTCAATACTTGCAGTGCTTTCATCATCATTTGCAGACTTGTGCAGAGTAGCAAAAAATTCACGTCACCCAGTGTGCACACTCCCAGCTGGGGTTGGACAAGGTGAGGCTCTGCTTTCTGTTTTCCGCTTTCATATCATAGACAAGAGCCCTTGATGTGGTCTATTCAGTGCCACAGTTTTTGCATTTTTGTGCTTTTTGGGGGTGATTTCACTGTTTTAGGTGACCCCCAGGCATCATGCTGAAGTGCTGTCTAGTGCTTCTAAGCACAAGAAGGCTGTGGCGTACCTTATGGAAGAAATATGTGTGTTAGAGAAGCTTCGTTCAGGCATAAGTTAGAGTTCTGCTGGCTGTGGATTCCGTGTTAATGAATCAACATATATATTAAATAAGGTGTCTTCAAACAGAAACATACATAAAGCAAAATTATGTATTGGTTGGTTGACAAAAATCTTGTGACCAGAGACTCACAGGAACCTGACCCTGTCTTTCCCCGGGAGCACAGCACTAATACATTTCTCATGGTGACTTCATAAAACACAACTACTGCAGGGCCAACCTTCGTGGCCTTGTGGTTAAGTTCAGCGTGCTCTGCTTTGGTGGCCTGGGTTTGGTTTCCCGGCACAGACCTACACTGCCTGCTAGTGGCCGTGCTGTGCTGGCGGCCCACATACTAAAAAATAGAGGAAGACTGGCATGGATGTTAGCTCAAGGCAAATCTTCCTCAGCACAAAAACAAAAACAAAACATAACTACTGCAAATAACGAGAATCCACTGCACATGTATTCTCTCACAGTTTCTGTAGGGCAAGACTCTGAGCACTACTTAATCAGGTCCTCTGCTCAGGGTGTTGCAAGGCTGCAGTCAGATGTTAACTAAACTGTGATCCTCTCAGGAGCTTGGGGTGCCAAGCTCTCATGGTTGTTGGCAGGACTCAGTCCTTGTGGCTGTAGGACTGAAGTCCTGTTTTCTAGCCAGCTGTTAGCTGCAGTTACTATAAACATCGAAAGGCTGGCTCCAGTTCTTTGCCATGTGGCCCTCTCACAGCGTGGCAGCTGACTTCTTTAGACCAGCAGGAGAATCTTTTACTCCAGGTACCTATGAGGGAGTCTCATAAGTGTAGCATAATCACGGGAGTGACTATCCCATAGAACAAAATGGGATAACGTAATGGGAGGGACAGCCATCACCTTTTGCCTGTTCTGTTGGTTAGAAGCAAGTCACAGGTTCATCCCACACTCAAGGGGAGGAGGTTACACAAAGGCTTGACTCATTGGGGGGGTCACATGAAGGTGTGTTTGCTACAGTGGTGTGCCAGAATCTTCCAGAAGATTCCTTACAAACATAAGGAAGATGAGATGCCACTGTTTACTCAGGCAAGATCTAACAACTCTGAAATTAACATCAACAGAAGATGCGACTTCAAGGCTGCACACTGATGTGCAAGGAGTGGGTGTTGGGACATTTAGGTGCTGTCCAGCTCTGTCACTAACTACTTGAGGATAGATCAAGGAACCTGAATTTTGTCAGCTCTATATCATGAGCCACATGGTTAGAAATTCATGGATAAGAGCACTGCAGACATTTTTAAATGTTTAAAGAGGTGACCTCAAAGGATCTCAGTCAGTCTACAAATTATTCCAACTGCGGGACAAGTGCCCAGGGAGGCCCCGCTCTGTCCTACTTCACTTCATTTAAGAATATTCTTCAAGGGACCCCTGTTTCATGGTGAGATTTCAGTGGAACAGAACTGGAAAGGCCCAGAAGTATGGAAACAATTATACTCACCTTTAGCTAGGACTGTGTTGGTCCATGCTGAGCCCACAGTGTGCTCATCGCTGCCCGGCAGACCCACGGATGAGGTGCCCAGAAAGGTCTCTTCTACTTCTGGAGCCTGTGGTTCAATAATTGGGGTGAAGGGTGGGCACAGACCACCCAAAGCCGTTCACTTATGAGTTTACATGTCATTAGGGGTAACTCCAAGGGCACCCTAATCGACCTAAGATCTGACGGTCCAGGTAGAGCTCCCAAGGCAGACTTCAGTGACCCAGCTTTCCTGTTCGGTCTAGAAATAAAGAAGGGAATTGGATTTGGGGGTCTCTCCCTAGCGCATTAGCATGTGTGGCCTAATTAAGCTCCATTTGGGCAGCACACACATCAATAGGGCTCTTTCTCTTTAAGAATTGCTTTCAGACAGCAGTTCTTTTGTTTAAGAATCGCTTTGTTTCTCTTTTATTTGAAGTCCAAAAGCCATCAGCCATTGGGGCCCCTGCTTCTTCAAGGGGCATTCAGACGCAGGCTGCAGATGGCCGGACAAAGAGCGGGCCTTGTGCTCCAGGCCGGATTCGCCCCGGGCCTTCCTCTGACAGAGCATCTTTCACTAATATTTGCTTTCTCAAAGCCATCTTTCCTGAACAAAGGCTTCTTTCTGTACAGATGACTCCTAATAAACCTTTTTTTTTTCTTGTAAGGATATTTGTTCCCAACCCTTTCCAGAACCCTATTCTTAATTCCAAATTCAGTGAGAGGCAATCAATTCTATGCAGACGCTGAGCATTCGCAGCATCGCAGCCTGATCAAAGTAGGTCTTTCTCATCGCTCCTATTCAGTGTCATTTCTCTGCAAAATGAGGAGGCTGAGTTAGAGATCTCCGGGTTCCTTTTTTCTACTCTAGCATGCCAATGCTCGCTATGGTGTAGTGGGGTCACCATGCTGTCCCTGGAGTCTAGCACTCTGCGTCACCAGATATGCTTGCTCAACATTCAGATTCCTGGGCCCCAGGCAGACCAACTGGATCAGAATCTCGGGGGGAGGGGGGAGAGGGAGTGGAGTCTGGGAATTTGTATTTCTCGCAAGCCCCCCAGGTGTTTTCAATGTGCAGTCAGATTTAGAAACAAGTGGGTGGCATTTGTTTAGAAAGCAAGCAAGAGCAGCGTGTCTCTGCTTGTAAGAATAAGCAATCCATTCAGAACAGCGGGAAGAAAATCTACTTATTCTGTTTATTAAACAGTCTCTGTCTTTTCTTTCAAACAGGTGTGTCTGGTACTGGTCCAGGAAGAAAACACAGCAAATAGCCCTGGAAAACAAGGAGCTTTAGCTTGAGGGTCCAGCGCCCCTCCCCCAGCTTTCATCCCCGCTCAACCTCAGAGATGAGCAAATACAGCTTCAGAAGGGGCCGACCACTAAAAGGAGGACCACTGCAACAGGTGGAATAATTTCTAAACTCCTGTTGTCCTTCTTTGTTTGGATAACTCCATCCTTTTTCTCAGTCTATCTGAAGGAGATTGAACCGTGCCATTATTTAGTCTTATTTTCTTTGGGACCTGGAAGGCAGCCTTGCTATCATTTACCTAGTTTTCAGCCATGTGGACACAAATCAAAACTCTATCAGGAAAGTAATAGGTGTCACTTGTCCCTGTTTTGAGGACTGATGGAGGCTCAGCAGTCATCCTGCCACAAGGAATTGAAGGAAGTCAATCTCTGTTTCATTGTCCTGAAGCTATTTCTCACCGAAGGGACGCTGGATTTTTACCCACTTCGATTAATGAAAGAAACTTCTAGTTCTGGCACTCTTTGTTAGGAGGAAAGATAAATAAGGAAAGGATTTACCTACAACCCGGCCTCGTGATGAAATAATGAATGGTCAGTGCCAGGAGGTTTTAGAAAGCAGGGTTCTTCCTTCTTCTCTCAAGTGGTCCAGATGTTGGAACCTCACCTCTGGGAGGACGTGTTCCAAAGCACATCCAGGTCTCCCAGTGGGATCACGTGGAAACTTCAGTGGGCCCTGCTGTATTCTAAGTGGGGGTGTCACTCTGAGGTTGTCAAATCTCCCAGGGAACCATGGGGTGATGGTCTCTATGCATCCCGCCTGACGTGTGGTGGGCATGAATGCTGCCTTGTGTGGTACGGCATATTTGGTTTGCTTCCTAGCAGTGTTTATCTGGCTTGTTTTTTTGTCCTTGGGAGTTTTGCTAAGAATGGTGATGAGTGGACAGTCAACAATCCCGGAATCTGGGTTAGATAAACTCCATGACTTGGACAGCTTCTACAAGTCTTCTCAAAAAGGGTCTTACGGCCTCAGAAAATGAGCTTGAAATGTATTTTGGTCTCACTCAAAAGAAATCCCCAATTCTGCAGCTCTTTTTGTGACAATATCTTGCTAGCAGAGAGCACCCTTAGGACAGGACCTTCCTGGGATGGCTCCCTTGTCCTCGTGCTCAGAAAGAAGTGGACAGCAAGTTGGGGTCAGTGATCGCCTCTATTCCGGGCTGTGGATGAAGCATTCTTCTCTGAGGTAGGGCATCAGGGTGGGTATATCTGGGGAAAGAGGTGAGATAATGAGATAATAGCAGGCCAGTGGACCCGGAAGAATCCTAATTCCCCCTCAGCCCATCTCCCCTTCCCCTGAGGTCTGCGAGGGAGGTACATGCTCAGAGGACAATCTCCTGGGGGATCGGTGTATCCCAGCTGCAGCTCTGATCTCACGCGCTAAGCTCCAGCATGGTCTTCAGAGCTGGCAAAGGTTGGATCACGTGGTGAACCAACCTTGGCCTGAAAGATTAGGCCAGAGAAACCATTTTACCCTGAGGCTGAGATGTAGTTGTTCCTGGTGTTCGTCCCAGGCCACCCAAATGTCGGGGAAGCTCACCCGTGAACTTCTAACCTCAGCCCCATGAGGAGAAGAAGACAAAGCGAGCTTAGAAAAGCCAAGGAGAGGTGGTGGTCTGGGAATCCAGCCAAACTGCAAAGAAAATCTCCCAAAGAGAAAATCCATACCCTCTGCTTGACCTTTAACTTCCTGACTTTAGGGCTGTAGCCCAGGGGACTGTTCGTTCATTTCACCTACCTCTTCTTGTGTGAACTGGGGAAAGGGGGGTGGATAGGGAGATGCGGAGGGACAGGAGGCTTGAGGCAGCAGTCCCTCCATCCTTGATTTCTCTCTGAGAGGCCAAGGGGCTTAATACTGGACTTGGGATCAAGCAGGAGCATTGCTTTTCCTCTAACTC